ACAACAACTTATTAACTTGGAGCTCTTATTTTCCCAGTAGTATCCCTCGCTGTGGCTGTTAGCCATGCAAATTTCTCTTCTACATCATTTCATTGAGTTTTAATTAACACAACAAGGATTCAGTGTCCTCAAATGACATAACTCGGAGCACAAATTCAACCTCATTAGCTCTCAGTGTCTCTTCAGCCCAACGTGAGTGTGGATCGCTGCAACCAGTTTCAGTTTTATGTTTCAGATCATGTCCTTAATGAATTGATTTGTTGTCCAACCAGCTATCCCTAAACTGCCCTGCAAAGATCTCAGGATATCCCTTTAGATATGTTATTATTCAGACTGAGATAAGAAAACAAGCTTTTCTGTTTTTCTTTTCTTTCTTTTGTTCACATCATTTTTCCAATAGGCCTGACTGTTGAACTGCATTTCCTGAAAAGCCTCACCCAATACCGCCTTTGCTAAATTTAAAAACATTTAGTTTGAAACGGTTTTCTTCTTGAGCTTTCTACTTAATTCTGTAACTCTGGTTATTTCCAGCAGTCTTACTCAGCTCCTTCTGCTTGATATAGAGTCATTGAAGTGCCTCTAAATTAGTTCTAATGCATTTGCGCCATTGCAAAGTGTCAGACGAGCACTTCTCCTTCAGCTGCTGTTTGCCTTCTGCCAGAAAGCTGCAATTGAGGTGGTTGCGCCACAAATGCAACCCATCACGTGTTTCGGGACCGGGACATTTACAGCCTGCTCCTGCATAGCAATGTTCTGTTAAAAGAATTGCTTATTGTTGAGCAGAGATGTCTGCCAGCACTGTGTGCACGCTTTTGCTACAAATGTCACCGGTTCATTAAATGAAGTGCAGTAAAAACACATTCCATTTGTCCCATTTGAATTCTTGGCGCACTCGCGACTTACGTGGCGAGCGAGGGCCTATACCTGCCTGTGGTACGGTTATGTCTTTAAGTGATCTATAAAATGTTATTATTTAAAACAACCTCTTTATGGATTGCTTACGAGACATGCTTAGCACATGATTGATCTGACCTTTCACAGACTGTCGTTCTCGGGGAAAACATCAGCCTTAACCTTTTTTAGCTGGATTACCCTGCCAGCACTTTTGTATGTGTGTATGAATGTGTGTGTGTATGTATGTGTTAGTATATTGGAAGAACATGTTTGTATGCATGGGAAAATGCCATCTAGCAATGCCTGTGTCATATGCTTTTATAAGTTTTGCTTCACTGAGATGAAAATAATACAATGCTGATTGATTGATCAATCATGTCCGAAAGGGTATCTGCGTGTGCATGTATGGGTGTGTGTGTGTGTGTGTGTGTGTGTGTGTGTGTGTGTGTGTGTGTGGTTGTGTGTGTGTGTGTGTGTGTGTGTGTGTGTGTGTGTGTGTGTGTGTGTGTGTGTGTGTGTGTGTGTGTGTGTGTGTGTGTGTGTGTGTGTGTGTGTGTCAGAGAGAGCCAAGGCTACGTACAGCTTGATGAAGAATAGAGATTGATGGAGGCTTGCCGTGAGGAGGATACTCAGTTATCTCCTTGTAATTAAAATCCACCTCATAAAGATTATTGACTCCCCCACCGCACAAACCAGCACGCCGCCTTGCTTGGCAGGGTTTGCAATGCGCTTCTTAAAAAATGAAAAATAGCATATTAAGCAGCACACATTTCCCATTTATGCGTTACATTTAGATGTGGTTAAGTTATCGTAATGTGCAATAAAACCTGGATGTGAAATTTGTAATCCACTTTGGAAAATTGCTTGCTATATTGCTTTAACATTCCCTGAAAGAGCTTTTGAGATGTGTGTGCCAGGTTTATTGCACGCTATAATTTAAAAGTCCTCAATGCAGGCAGTAAATAGAAATTTATTAGTGGTGGGTTTAAAAAGCCAGACTGAGGTAGCATGAATGACAGGATGTTTGAGTGTTTACAGTCACTGAGTGCATACGTTGTGTATTTTGATACGTGCCACATGAGTTTGTGTTTGCAAAGTGGAACAACTCATTTTCTGAGCTAAGCTACAAGGTGATGGAGAAATAGTTATTTCCATCTCACTGTTTCAGACTGAGGGCAGACTTTCAAGTTGCGTCAGAGATGGTGATTGGGGGCGATGGTGGGCCAGAAGTTAAGTGCTCACCCCATAATCAGGTGGTGGTGTTTGGAGGGACCGGTAGCACCTGTGTAGGGCAAACTCACCTCCCTCATTGTGCCCCAGGGCAGCTATGGCTACAGTGTAGCTCATCACCACCAGGGTGTGAATGTGTGAATGACTGATTGCGTTGTAAAGTGCCTTGGGGGTTCCAGGACTCTAGATGGTGCTATATCAAATACAGACCATTTACTATTTACCATTGTGTCAATGGAGTAAAAAAATAAAAAATATAAATACATTAATAATAATAATAATAATAATAATAATAATAATAATAATAATAATCCTCAATCCCAACAACATGTCTTCCAGTGAGGAGGCAGAGTCCGGGGACTTTGGGTTGGCCTCTCAAATCTCTGGTGCTGAGGTCACTGAGGTGGTTAAAAAGCTTCTCTGTGGCAAGGCTCCAGGGGTGGATGAGTTCTGCCCGGAGTTCCTTAAGGCTCTGGATGTTGTGGGGCTGTGTTGGCTGACGCAGCTCTGCGTGGACATCGGAGGCACTCCCACTGGACTGGCAGACCGGGGTGGTGGTCCACTTATTTAGAAAGGGGGACCGCAGGGTGTGTTCCAACTACAGGGGGGTCACACTCCTGAGCCTTCCTGGTAAGGTCTATTCAGGGGTTCTGGAGAGGAGGGTCCGTCGGATTGTTGAACCTCAGATTCAGGAGGAGCAATGTAGTTTTCGTCCTGGCCGTGGAACACTGGACCAGCTCTATACCCTTAGGGGGATCCTGGAGGATGCGTGGGAATTTGCCCAACCAGTCTAGATGTGCTTTGTGGATTTGGAGAAGGCGTTTGACCGCGTCCCTCGGGGGGCCCTGTGAGGGGTACTCCGGGAGTATGGGGTACCAGGCCCTCTGATACAAGCTGTTAGGTCCCTGTATGACCGGCGGTGTCAGAGCTTGGTCCGCATTGACGGCAGTAAGTCGGACTCGTTCCCAGTGAGAGCTGGACTCCGCCAAGGCTGCCCTTTGTCACCAATTCTGTTCATAACCTTTATGGACAGGATTTCTAGGTGCAGCCAAGGTGTGGAGGGTATCCATTTTGGTGGCCTGAGGATCAAGTCTCTGCTTTTTGCAGATGATGTGGTCCTGTTGGCTTCATCAGAACGTGATCTTCAGCTTTCGCTGGAGCGGTTCGCAGCCGAGTGTGAAGCAGCTGGGATGAGAATCAGCTCCTCTAAATCTGAGACCATGGTCTTGATTCAGAAAAGGGTAGAATGCCTTCTCCGGGCCAGGGATGAGGTCCTGCCCCAAGTGGAGGAGTTTAAGTATCTCGGGGTCTTGTTCACGAGTGAGGGAAAACTGGAGAGTGAGATTGACAGGCGGACTGGTGCTGCAACTACAGTGGCGCGGGCGTTGTACCGGTCTGTTGTGGTGAAGAGAGAGCTGAGTCAGAAGGCGAAGCTCTCGATTTACTGGTCGATCTACGTTCCTACCCTCACCTATGGTCATGAGCTTTGGGTAGTGACTGAAAGAACAAGATCGCGGATACAAGCGGCCAAAATGAGTTTTCTCCGAAGAGTGGCTGGGCTCTCCCTTACAGATAGGGTGAGAAGCTCATTCATTTGGGAGGGGCTCGGAGTAGACCCGCTGCTCCTCCACATCGAGAGGAGCCAGTTGAGGTGGCTCGGGCATCTGGTCAGTATGTCTCCTGGACGCCCCCCTGGTGAGGTTTTCCGGGCACGTCCAACTGGGAGGAGACCTAAATGTAGACCCAGGACACGGTGGAGGGACTATGTCTCTCATCTGGCCAGGGAATGCCTTAGGATTCCCCCGGAGGAGCTGGCCCAAATGGCTGGGGAGAGGAAAGTCTGGGCCTCTCGCCTTAGGCTGATGCCCCCGCGACCCGACTCCGGATAAGCGAATGAAAATGGATGGATGGATAATAATAATAATAATAATAATAATAATAACAACAACAATAACAATAATAATAATTTAATTTTTTGTTTGGTGAGAGGTTTCTAGTGCTTACCTCTGTCATCTGAGAAAAACACCACAATTAAATGTCCACAGTCCTTTTCTATGAAGATCCAACAACACCCCCCAACAAACTATATCCTGGGCCATTCCTGGCACAACCCTCAACCTTTCAGCAACCAATTACATCAGTGTGTGTGGACCTCCACATCACTTTGACATCTTAGCTACTTTGTAGTTATATTTAGCAAGTTCTCAGACCCCTCTGGAAACTATTTTTAAAGGAGCCATGATAAATCTTGTGACTTTTTTATGAGTTAACGGAATCTATTTGGAGATTCTGAAATGAAAGCAGGTATCATTTTAACTCTTTTCAATGAACAACAGGTGCCTCTGAGAGCTCCTCCCCATCCCAACGCAATCACAAGCAGCCCACTCATTGCCTCTATAGCTACAGTCAGACCAGGGCATTTCGCCTTTCTGTATCCAGACTAGAAATTAATAACACATGAGTGAACTTGTCATCGGTTGATACAAGATAGGGATTCAATATGATGTAAAAAACAAACAAATAAACAAACAAAAAAAAACAATAATCAGCAGCATAAGTTTTACTTGTAGTTCTAAACACATTTTAGTAGCCTAGCAATCTAGATAAACCGATGGAAACTGTCATTCTCTGTGGACAGACACCAAACAGTCTGAGTCTGTGGAGAACTTCTAGATGCTGATGGATCCGAGCACAAACCCAGTTAACGAGTCCACCAGCTAAAGTCATTATCAATGTGAACTCTTAGGTACTTGAAGGACTTGACCTGCTAAATGTTGTGCTCATGTTCAGCCACCCTGAAGTTTATGTTTATGTTTATTCACTTAGCAGACGCTTTTTATCCAAAGTGACTTACAATTTCTAACCTATAGGGCATGTTGTGATCTGTGGGGGAAACCGGAGTACCCGGAGAAAACCCACGCATGCATGGGGAGAACATGCAACTCCACGCAGAAAAGCTACAGCCGAGTTTTGAACCTGCGACCTTCATGCTGCGATGCAACAGTGCTAACCCCTGCGCCACCATGCAGCCCCAGTGATCTCCAACTGACAAAAGATCCCCCAGCATCTCCACTGTCTTGGTGACACACTGGCTCACACACTCACCCACCGCACGGCTGTTGGTTTTTAAGTTAGAGTCTTAGGTCATGCCCGGACTATATATTTTCATATACAGGACACTCAGTAGCATGCAAAGTGTTCTTAACACATACCTGAATAGAGGTTCCATACTTTGGCAGATTTTTTTTTCATAGTAGTGAAGGTCATCATCCTACGTGGAGGAGGTCTTATAGAATATACCATCATTTCTGAAAGTTCATTTTTCTTTTCTTGGTGGAGGTAATATGCGTCTTTGTGACAATGCATGTATTACTGCTGTATCTGTCTGAACTTTTGCCCTTTTCTTTATATTGTCAGCAGGTGAGGAGCTGCTTCTCTGAGGTCAGATCCCCTGTGTTTCTCGGGTCAGTTCTCACGCAGGCCTCTAAAGGCACTGGACCCCCCCAGTCTGTTCCACTGGTAGGCCGTAAGGTATGTGTCAAAAAGACTGCGCAAATTATGTTTTCAGACTCTTCAAGTGTAGAGCAGATGAAGGCCCTGGGATTTTCCTGAAAATTGAGATTTAGCTTGAATAAGCATGAATTCTTAAAGGGTTCACCCACGTTTATTCCACTGTGTGTAAAAGCTGAGTTTGCATTGCTTTTCAGTTCCCACCTCCACTTTTTAGTTTAAGCATAGGTGATGAAATTAGTCTTGAATTGTAATTTGACAAAAATGACTATCCTGTTTATGAAATCAGTCTTTTAGTTAAAAAAAGGCATCATTTCATTGAGTATCAACAGCGTCAGTTGATTCAGCATGATACAAAATAACAGCACAGCATAAGAAGCTAGGACTGGATATTTCTGGAAATGCTTTTACACAATCACTTACATAATTTTGATTCATTTTAATGAAGACAAAACACTTTATTTTATGTAGGTGTGAGATATTCCCAGTGGAATGTGGCACGTGAGAGCGTTTACAACACGTGAGTAACCTTCCATCCATCTTTCAACGTTCAGAATCCCCTGGCCGATTGTTTTTGGGTCAAGGAGAAAGCGTCATAAAAGTTCTACCAAATTTTTTCTCTCATTTTCTCCCTCCATACTGTATCTTCCTCTTCCTCTCCAAATTATATCTTGTTCTTCCTCAAAGCTCCTCCTCCCTCGCTTTCTCACTCATCAGACCATAATTCACTTCAGTGGGAAGCATCATTAATGCACAGTAGGACTCAGCAGCTTGATGTGTGCTAATTATATTGTGTGTTTTACACACTGGATGACTTTTGCTTAGTCAGCGATGAAACCAGGCTCCGGTAATTGTTTTTTTGGGTGTGATGAGTTTATGAAATCCTGCATGATTATTTGAGATTTTATGTATATATTGTGGGTTTATTTTCATGTATCTGTCAGTGGGTGTGTGGAGGTTTCCACCATGTAAGCTTAGAAAACCACATTTATTTGTACTTATGCATGTGTAGTCATGCATACAGTTCCTACCACCAAAGCTAAGATTATTCTACAGCTCCACACATTACACGCTTCTGCGAACTTAGTAATGATTAGCAAAACAGTCAAAAATCACAAGATCACTGTGACACATTAAAACTGCATGCAGTTTTAAAATCCATCATAGTCTGAGAAAACTTTGACTGCACATTAGACCATGACGCCACACTCTACATCGCTTACATTCTCCACAACCAAGGTGATCCGTTTAGCTCTGTACATCAGTCAGTGCCATACCTGGAAACATAGCTCAGCCTGGGGCGAATCATGCTGATTGGAGGTATCCTTTGGCTCACCTGGGGGCTTCCAATCCTATTAGGCCAATAGTCCTGAGCCTAACGTACCCAGCAGCTGCTCGTGTTTGATCACCGGTGCTTAGAGCCTACACTTGTCCTCTTATGTTGGTGTTGAGGCATGGAAAAGAGGTAAAGCGTGGTGGGGGATGGGGAGGCAGGGGTTCAAATGTGATCTCCTTAACTCTCTAGGGGGGCAGAGGTAGCACTCCTCTGCTCCTCCAGCTGGAGTTGGTCTTTAAACTTTTGATATCATTTGAAAAGCGGAACGTTGTAAGTTTTCTTTTTTTTCCCCTCAGCAAAACAGAAAAATGGGATAAGTGAAGAGGTGAAAAGGAGAAAACTGAGGAAGAAATATCTGTCTTTTGTTGGAAAGTTGATCACACAAGTGCTTCTCACATCATCTGTATCAATTCCTCTTGACCATCCATCGAAAGTGCACGTCTATGTGTGTCCCTTTTTCACCCCCGCCCCCTCTTTCCTCGACCAAGAGCACCCAGGAAGAGCCATGTGTTTCCAAAGTGGACTGGATGGGAAATCGAAGCAGGGCTTCTGTGTTTATCAAGGCACAGCTCCGTCACCTTGCTCTTACTCCCATCTGGAAGCCCGGGCAAATTGGTGACAGCAGCAACAACCCTGCAGCACACATGCCCTTTTTCTGTTTGCACATCCACACACACTCAGTCCCTCCTATACACACACACACACACACGGAGCACAGCACCTTGGCCTGTTTAGTTTTATTGCTGGTGTCAGGTGAGGAGGCGGCGGTAGGAGTGCTGTCTAATGTTCAGCTTACACACATATACGCTCACAGATACACTCACACACAGCCATTTTCCACCCCTGCTGACACCTTGGCTAACGAGACCTGTGAACTGCACAGACAGAACTCTGAGACTTGTCAGAGTCCCACTCATTTAATGCCAAGACCTGGCCCCAGCTCTAACCCAACCAGGGTTTCTATATGCACACTGAGCCACAACAGGCTCAGCAGTCTTATTCTTAACACCAGCTTGCTGAAAACTCTTGCTCCTTCAAGCTAATACTGTAAAAGTAATCCCATTGTAATCCAAAGCCTTTCTTTTTTGAAGAATTCTTAAATGTTAGAGATACTCTGTGCAGCCAATATAGTACATGCTATGGCTTCTGTTTGGTTTCATGCTTGAGTGACTTAATTTTCATGAAATTTTGTTTTCCATTAAACACAAACATGGCTGAGAAGATTCAAGAGGTGATTCAAGCTTCCACCGTGTGTTTGATGGGTTGTATCTCTGCAAACTTTTCTTACCTCTAAACTGTCAAGGAGTTGTGACGCAATCCTGTGCATGAAATGTTGCCCTGTGTGTTGCATTTCTGCAGGATGTCTTCTCTGTTTCTTTTAAAAGTCCCTTTCTTATTTCTCTGGCGTGATCTTGTAAGCGGAGTTTAACGAAGATCTGACTGCAGTTCGAGCCCTTGCGCAGCTTCGCTACCTTGGAAATTAACTGCACAAACAATGTCTGGCCATTGTGCCTCAGCACTTATAGCAATGCCATTTAAGAGCGTATTGATCCACCCAATGCAGGGTCAATCATTGGATCAATGGTGTGTGGACTTGTTGGCTGGAAGGCTGTTTGACTGCATGAATGAATGGAAGGATAGCAAACAGATGAATAGACAGCCCCATAATGAATGGATGCATGGATATATGGATTTGTTCATGGATGAACTCAGACTGATGTATGGAGGGCAGTGTCAGGTCTAGACAAAGCTGAACTTGTCTTGTGTTAAAGATTTCACTTTTTTGCCCTTTTTAATGTGAAATTTTAAACATTGCTTTAATTATACACAAAAAGTCAGTTTATAGTAAATACGCCTATGCACCTTGCAGCACCTTTTTTTCTGCTCCTATTTTTCATGAGATGGATTTAAAGATCTAAAATTCATTCCAGATACACAATATTACCATTTTTCTCAAACATTGTTCACAAATCAGTCTAAATGTGTGACAGTGAGCACTTCTGCTTTGCTGAGATAATCCATCCCACCTCACAGGTGTGCCACATCAAGATGCTGATCCGACATCATGAGTAGTGCACAGGTGTACCTTATACTGCCCACAATAAAAGGCCACCCTGGAATGTGCAATTTTGTCTCACAGCAAAATGCCACAGATGCCACAAGCATTGAGGGAGCGTGCAGTTGGCATGCTGACAGCAGGAATGCCAACCAGATCTGTTGCTCGTGCATTAAATATTCATTTCTCCACCATAAGCTGTCTCCAAAGGCGTTTCAGAGAATATGACAGTATATCCAACCGGCCTCACAACTGCAGACAACGTGTAACCACACCAGCCCAGGATCTCCACATCCAACAGGTTCACCTCCAAGATAGTCTGAGACCAGCCACTCAGACAGCTGCTGAAACAATTGGTTTGCATAACCAAACAGTTTCTACACAAACTGTCAGAAACCGTCTCAGGGAAGCTCAACTGCATGCTCGTCGTCCTCATCGGGGTCTTGACCTGACTCCAGCTCGTCGCCGTGACAGACTTGAGTGGGCAAATGCTCACATTCGATGGCGTCTGGCACGTTGGAGAGGTGTTCTCTTCACGGATGAATCTCGGTTTACATTGTTCAGGGCAGATGGCAGACAGCGTGTGTGGCGTTGTGTGGCTGATAGGGGCTGCACGGCTTAATTTTTTTTAAAGTCGACAGTCAAGTAATGAAAATCAAGTCGACTTTGACTAGTCGTTGATGACGTCATACACCTGAAGCGGGCCGGGGGAGTGGGGGTGGGGGTGGGGGTTGGTTCGCTGGAGTTTTTGACAATTAAAATCGCACCCATATTTTTAAAGTTAAACACACTCTTTTAACAACAGCAGTTTCTGCATCTCCGCTTCAGCCCCCCCCCCCCCCCCCCCCCCACCTGCGTAGTGGCTGCAAACTCACTGATGCGCCTGCAGCCTCTCAGAGTTCCTGCTGCTCTAAACATTAAAATAATTATTTAATTTTCTGTTCCTCACTTCTGATTACCTTCAATGGTGTCTGTTTGTTGCAACCACCAGGTACAAAAACTAACTTGTTTTTATTTGACTATTTTTCTATCCTGTCTGTTTATCTTCCTGCATCTCCTCTCAATCCTAAAGAAAAACTGCTACCTGGGTTCATATATATTCACCTTATGAGTTACCTTTGAACTGCAGTTCTAAAAGATCTACCGACCGCAAAAACAGCGGAGTGCACGCTGCTCGCCGGCCGCATCAGTGAGGTGCGTCACCGGAGGACAAAACAGGTGATGCGCCCCACTCCACAGCAACGAAAAGCATCAGGCACAAATAAAAGACAGAAAACATAAAAGGAAATGAGCCGACATGAACGATTGCGTGTTAAATTGAACTAACTTTAGTAACTTTAGGCCCATTTCTAAACTGCCTTTCATCAGCAAAGTACTTGAGAAGGTTGTTGAAACCCAACTCAGATCCTGGTTTTCTAAGTCAAAGATCTCTGACCCCTTCCAATCTGGCTTTCTGAAGCAGCACTCAACTGACACTGCTCTAGTAAGGGTGCATAATGACCTCCTGATGGCTGCTGATGCAGGGAAATGCTCTGTCATGGTCCTGCTTGACCTCAGTGCAGCTTTTGACACTGTAGATGTTCTACTAAACAGGTTAAAGGCCCTGGCTGAGATTTCAGGTTCTGCTCTAGACTGACTCTCTTCCTATCTCACTAACAGAACATTCACAGTGAAGTCAGAAACCTTCTCCTCAGACACTGCCTCTCTAACATGCGGGGTCCCACAAGGTTCAGTTCTAGGGCCTCTACTATTCGCATTCTATATTCTTCCCCTAGCTGGCATCATTCAGTCTTTCCCAGACATCTCCTACCACATCTACGCTGATGATATTCAGCTCTATATGTCCTTTATGCCACACCAGTTGGACAGGCTGGCCACACTTGTACTCTGCCTGACCCAGATCAGTAACTGGCTGTCCAGCAACTTTCTTGTCTTAAATGCTAACAAGACAGAGACCCTGATCGCTGCACTTCAGCCAAAAATCGAGCAAGAAATTGCCTTTTTTTGCCCATCAGCCAAGGCCAACATTAGAAACCTATGAGTTATTTTTGATCCAGCTTTAAGTTTAGACTCACACGTCAAAACCATCTCCCGCTCTTGTTTCTTTCAACTGAGAAACATTTCAAAAGTCCGTAAACTGGTTTCTACTGCAGATCTGGAAAAAATCATCCATGCCTTTGTGTCATCACGCTTAGACTACTGTAACGCTCTTTTTACTGGTCTCAGCAAAACCTCCCTCTCACGCCTTCAAGCCATCCAAAATGCAGCAGCCAGACTCCTAACCAAATCCAGCAGACGAGCTCACATCACTCCAGTTTTACAGTCCCTCCACTGGCTCCCGGTAGAATATAGAATTCAGTTTAAAGTTTTAGTCCTGACCTATAGAGCTCTTAACAACCAGGCTCCAAGCTACCTATCTGAGCTTTTATCCCCACACACCACCTCACGGAACCTCAGATCCACATCTGAAAACCTCCTGGCTGTTCCTCGAACCAGACTGAAAACCAAAGGGGACGGGGCCTTTCAGACTATTGCACCCAGATTTTGGAACAGTCTA